AATGAAGACGAAACTACAGAACATATTCTTTGTAATTGTAATGAACTAAGACAGAGTTTGGACTATACAATAGACTATAGGCTATACAATAGACTAGACTATAGACTATACTATAGATTATACTATAGACTAGACTATAGACTAGACTATAGACTAGACTATAGACTAGACTATAGACCAGACTATAGATTAGACTATAGACTAGACTATAGACTAGACTATAGACTAGACTATAGACTAGACTATAGACTAGACTATAGACTAGACTATAGACTAGACTATAGACTAGACTATAGAATAGACTATAGACTAGACTATAGACTAGACTATAGACTAGACTATAGACTAGACTATAGACTAGACTATAGACTAGACTATAGACTAGACTATAGACTAGACTATAGACTAGACTATAGACTAGATTATAGACTAGACTATAGACTAGACTATAGACTAGACTATAGACTAGACTATAGACTAGACTATAGACTAGACTATAGACTAGACTATAGACTAGACTATAGAATAGACTATAGACTAGACTATAGACTAGACTATAGACTAGACTATAGACTAGACTATAGACTAGACTATAGACTATACTATAGACTATCTATAGACTAGACTATAGACTAGACTTTAGCTAGACTTTAGGCTAGACTATAGGCTAGACTATAGACTAGACTATAGACTAGACTATAGACTAGACTATAGACTAGATTATAGACTAGACTATAGACTAGACTATAGACTAGACTATAGACTAGACTATAGACTAGACTATAGACTAGACTATAGACTAGACTATAGACTAGACTATAGACTAGACTATAGACTAGACTATAGACTAGACTATAGACTAGACTATAGACTAGACTATAGACTAGACTATAGACTAGACTATAGACTAGACTATAGACTAGACTATAGACTAGACTATAGACTAGACTATAGACTAGACTATAGACTAGACTATAGACTAGACTATAGACTAGACTATAGACTAGACTATAGACTAGACTATAGAACTAGACTATAGACTAGACTATAGACTAGACTATAGACTAGACTATAGACTAGACTATAGACTAGACTATAGACTAGACTATAGACTAGACTATAGACTAGACTATAGACTAGACTATAGACTAGTCTATAGTCTAGTCTATAGTCTAGTCTATAGTCTAGTCTATAGTCTAGTCTATAGTCTAGTCTATAGTCTAGTCTATAGTCTAGTCTATAGTCTAGTCTATAGTCTAGTCTATAGTCTAGTCTATAGTCTAGTCTATAGTCTAGCCTATAGTCTAGCCTAAAGTCTAGCCTAAAGTCTAGTCTATAGTCTAGTCTATAGTATAGTCTATAGACTAGACTATAGACTAGACTATAGACTAGACTATAGACTAGACTATAGACTAGACTATAGACTAGACTATAGACTAAACTATAGACTAGACTATAGACTAGACTATAGACTAGACTATAGACTAGACTATAGACTAGACTAAGACTAGACTATAGACTAGACTATAGACTAGACTATAGACTAGACTATAGACTAGACTATAGACTAGACTATAGACTAGACTATAGACTAGACTATAGACTAGACTATAGACTAGACTATAGACTAGACTATAGACTAGACTATAGACTAGACTATAGACTAGACTATAGACTAGACTATAGACTAGACTATAGACTAGACTATAGACTAGACTATAGACTAGACTATAGACTAAACTATAGACTAGACTATAGACTAGACTATAGACTAGACTATAGACTAGACTATAGACTAGACTATAGACTAGACTATAGACTAGACTATAGACTAGACTATAGACTAGACTATAGACTAGACTATAGACTAGACTATAGACTAGACTATAGACTAGACTAGACTAGACTATAGACTAGACGAATAGACTAGACTTATAGAGCTAGACTTGAGGGCTAGACTATAGGCTAGACTATAGGACTAGACTATAGACTAGACTATAGACTAGACTATAGACTAGACTATAGACTAGACTATAGACTAGACTATAGACTAGACTATAGACTAGACTATAGACTAGACTAAGTCTAGTCTATAGTCTAGTCTATAGTCTAGTCTATAGTCTAGTCTATAGTCTAGTCTATAGTCTAGTCTATAGTCTAGTCTATAGTCTAGTCTATAGTCTAGTCTATAGTCTAGTCTATAGTCTAGTCTATAGTCTAGTCTATAGTCTAGTCTATAGTCTAGTCTATAGTCTAGTCTATAGTCTAGTCTATAGTCTAGTCTATAGTCTAGTCTATAGTCTAGTCTATAGTCTAGTCTATAGTCTAGTCTATAGTCTAGTCTATAGTCTAGTCTATAGTCTAGTCTATAGTCTAGTCTATAGTCTAGTCTATAGTCTAGTCTATAGTCTAGTCTATAGTCTAGTCTATAGTCTAGTCTATAGTCTAGTCTATAGTCTAGTCTATAGTCTAGTCTATAGTCTAGTCTATAGTCTAGTCTATAGTCTAGTCTATAATCTAGTCTATAGTCTAGTCTATAGTCTAGTCTATAGTCTAGTCTATAGTCTAGCCTATAGTCTAGCCTAAAGTCTAGCCTAAAGTCTAGTCTATCTAGTATAGTCTATAGTCTAGTCTATAGTCTAGTCTATAGTCTAGTCTATAGTCTAGTCTATAGTCTAGTCTATAGTCTATTCTATAGTCTAGTCTATAGTCTAGTCTATAGTCTAGTCTATAGTCTAGTCTATAGTCTAGTCTATAGTCTAGTCTATAGTCTAGTCTATAATCTAGTCTATAGTCTAGTCTATAGTCTAGTCTATAGTCTAGTCTATAGTCTAGTCTATAGTCTAGTCTATAGTCTAGTCTATAGTCTAGTCTATAGTCTAGTCTATAGTCTAGTCTATAGTCTATTCTATAGTCTAGTCTATAGTCTAGTCTATAGTCTAGTCTATAGTCTAGTCTATAGTCTAGTCTATAGTCTAGTCTATAGTCTAGTCTATAGTCTAGTCTATAGTCTAATCTATAGTCTGGTCTATAGTCTAGTCTATAGTCTAGTCTATAGTCTAGTCTATAGTCTAGTCTATAGTATAATCTATAGTATAGTCTATAGTCTAGTCTATTGTATAGCCTATAGTCTATTGTATAGTCCAAACTCTGTCTTAGTTCATTACAATTACAAAGAATATGTTCTGTAGTTTCGTCTTCATTGTTACAACTTCTTATGAAATCGTTGTAGGGAAGTTTTACCCTTTTGGCATACTTACCAACTGGTCAATGACCAGTTATAACTACTAACGCAGAACGTGTACTTTGGACCTTTCCACTATCAATTGTTTTCCCTTTCTAAGAGAATTTCGCCAATGTTTTAAGAAGTGACAGCTTTAAACACTGTCTCAGTAACCTTGAGTCATATTGGGCTTTCTGGGACATCGACAAAGGTATTGTTTCGAGTTCCGCGCCAGACTAATCTTCTTCGATCAACTCGAAGAAGATTGTTACGGCATTGATGCCACCCACGTCTTCGCATTTGGGTGTTTGGTCCGAGATGTTACCGAACGAACTTTAAGAACGTCCCTCTGAGAGCCATGACAACCAATTTCCAGTTACCAAAAGAAATGGTGTCATCACTATTGTTGTGGTCAATGGTCGCCCAAATTGTGATCATACGACCTTTTCATGATCCGTAAAGGACTTCTTGGATCCTGGAAGGGTAAAGTCTCCAGACCACTGTTGTATAGGCGCTACTTTGGATGACTTCCGTTTAGGATTATCATGCTCCTTAAGAGTAGTGTTAATTTTGATCCCTTCGATGTGAGATTTTGCCCATTTAATAGAGCTTTTTTCTTGTTTCATAAGCTCACGGGCCAGCTATGCACTGAGTCGATTCTGAAGCCCTTTTTGGATGGTGTTTTGTGCAAAAAGAGAGCTACGTTAGAAGCCGTCGAGGTAAAGGGAGGGTGCTCGGAGAACGTTGAATCATTGTCTGTATACTCTCCTTGTTATACTTTTGGTACTAAAGAAACTGGCTTGGGGTGGACTGAATCCTGAACCTCATTGCTCTCGTAAATGTTTAATCTTTTTATACAAGAGAGATAGTAATAAGCATCGTCCTAACAGAAGTATTCTTGTCTAGTCCATCTACTAATCCCGATAGTAATGCTGATCATTAAAACCCAGAATGTTTGCAATTTGCATAAGTAGCTTAAGCATAATTTATAAGACACTGCAGCACTTCTGGAGTCAGATCAAATGAATCCAAAAGAATCATCCACCATTAACATTCTATTCAATACATTTCCAAGGGAAATGGTGTACAACATAAAACTAATCACGTAAAACCTAATTAAATACCTCAAGAATTAAGAAGATGTGTAACAAAACAAATGTCAGCAAAGAAAGTGAAAATAACATATATAAGTGAAATATATATATAAAGTCCTAGTGCAGAAACACAACAAAGTCGTCATCGGCATTCTCATAAAAGTTTGACAATTATTTGCCGTTGGAATAACACTTATTTCTTATTTTTCTCTTACAATATTGATCTACTTGATGGAGAAAAAGTACACAAAACCAAAATAAATTAAAAACAATTAACAAAACCATTACCGTGACTTTTGTGCACTTTTTCTCACAAAACGGTAAACCGTTGAACTGTCGACATGGTTGTGTTTCTACACTTACTAACAGGCAGTCACAGTAGCAAACACCCAGTAACAAAGGGCATAAAATAAACTTGAAAATTAGAAAGATATTAAAAAGGCAACCAGAAAAAAGCTCATAATCTTACGCATATGCACACATTTTCAAATACAACTGAGGAAACAAAAAATTGTTGTGCATTTGATTTGATCAGTTAGTTAGTTGTTACAGAAGCTGGTTCAGAACTAAGTTTTTATTTGTAATAAAGAAACGCTACGAACAAGACGCGTTTGCGCAGCTTTGGGTGATTGAAATTAAAAAGTAATAGTGATAAAACGCTCAAGCAGAAAAATAGTTTGGTGATGTTCAGAGTTTTTGTATTATTAGTCCTTTTGCCGGTCATTGTGGGACAGAATAAACAATTCTTAAATTTGGGCTTGAGCAATATTGTCAAACAAAACCGCTACAATGATGGTGAGTTATTAATTTTGGTAGCAAATTATTGTAATTGAATATTAATTTTTTTGCTGTGTGTTTCGGAAAAAATGTTAATAACTAACTAATTAGTGGTGTTTCTTCGATTTTTTTTGTTCAGTACCCCAACAAAATGCTGAATATGATTTTATAATAGTTGGCGGTGGACCAGCTGGTTGTGTGTTGGCCAATCGTTTGTCAGAGAATCCCAACTGGCAGGTGTATCTTATTGAAGCGGGCGGCTTAGAGGGCATTGCACATCAAATACCCTCTTTGGCAGCCTATTTACAAAGCACCCATTCCAATTGGGGCTATAAGTCGGTGCCACAAAAGGCTTCATGTAGGGGCATGCCCAACAATGAATGTAATTTACCGCGTGGCAAGGTTTTAGGTGGCACTAGTTCCATTAATTTTATGATTTATAATCGTGGCAATAGGAGAGACTTTGATAGATGGGCCGAATTTGGTAATGATGGTTGGTCATATCAAGAGGTCTTGCCCTATTTCCTAAAATCGGAAAATGCTCAGCTTCAGGGCTTGGAATATTCTCCCTACCACAATCATTCGGGTCCTTTAAATGTGGAAGATGTTAAGTTTAGAACAAAATTTGTGCATGCCTATGTTAAGGCGGCCCAAGAGGCGGGTTATGCCAAAACCGATTATAATGGTGAATCACAAATAGGTGTTTCCTATGTACAGGCAAATACTTTAAATGGACGACGACATAGTGCCTTTAAAGCCTACATAGAACCCATTAGAGAGAGTAGGAAAAATTTGCATATAGTAACTCTAGCTCGTGTCACCAAGGTATTAATAGATCCCCAGACTAAAAGGGCCTATGGGGTGAGAGTATTACATCGCAATATCTTATATACCATAAGAGCTCGCAAGGAAGTAATTTTATCAGCTGGAGCTTTTAATTCACCCCAAATACTTATGTTATCGGGTGTTGGACCCCGCGATAATCTTCAGGCTATAGGAGTGCCCATTATAAAAGAATTGCCGGTGGGAAAATTGATGTATGATCACATGTGTCATTTTGGTCCCACCTTTATTACCAATACAAACCGGACAAACCATTTTTACCTCACGCTTAAATGCCAAAATTGTCAAATCTTATGTTACTGGGGATCCCAGCACCCTACTCTCCTCTATAGGTGGTGTAGAAGCTTTAACATTTGCCAAAGTACCCAATTCCCGGGAACCCAGCGATATGCCAGATGTGGAGTTTATTAATGTTGCCGGAAGTCTGGCTTCAGATGATGGCACAGCTCTCACTAGGGCGCCAATTTTAAACCAGAAATCTACACCAAAGTTTACAAACCTCTCAACGATGCCCAACAAGATCACTTTACCTTTCTCATTATGCTGTTTCATCCCAAATCAGTGGGTAGAATATGGCTGTACAATCGCAATCCCCTAGAATGGCCACGCATAAATCCCAATTATTTTGATAACTCCGAAGATGTAGAATTCCTATTGCAGGGCATTAAAGAAGCCACACGCATTACACAAATGCCGTCAATGCAACGTGTTGGAACACGTTTACACACCATACCCACACCAGGTTGTGAAGCTTATCAATTTGGCTCTGATGATTATTGGCGTTGTTCCATACGTGTCATGTCTTATACATTACACCATCAAGTGGCTACATGTCGCATGGGTCCCGCTTACGATCCAACCACTGTGGTGAATGCAAAACTTCAAGTTCATGGTATTGAGGGTTTGCGTGTTGCCGACACCAGTATTATACCATTTCCACCAACATGTCATACCAATGCTGCATCGTTTATGATTGGCGAAAAAGCAGCTGATATGATACGTTCGTTATGGTCGTAATGGTGCAAGATATAAAGTACAAGATAGAGTGTAATTAAAATGTAAAATGTAGTTTTTAAGGTCTTTAGTTTCTTAAGATGTATTTACTGGCTTTAATACAGCAACTTTAATTTTTGCAAAAATAGAAAGTTTTTTTTTTTTAAATTATAAATATGTTTTGTGTTTTATTTTGCGATAATAAATATTATTATAATTAGTGGAACAAATTGTTATGTCAAGAAAAACCTGACTCAATGACATGACAAAATTTATTTAATAAAATTAAAAAAGTTTTTTATTTATATACGATTTACTGAATTAAAACTACTGATGCGTAAAGACCAGAAGTAAACATTTATTTAAAAAAAATATTAATAAAAAATATAAAATTAATTAATTTATATCTGTTGAAATTATAATGCTTGACGGCTTGAGTTCTCCCTCTATTTTCAACCATTGCTCGGACATTTGTGAATCCAGTAATCCCTATGAAAGCCTAACGATACATCAACCTTGACCAGTATTTATCTTACAATCTTTAAAAATGCACCCATTATCCCAGTTATCACATTTGAAGTCTAGTCATCCCTGGTCATTTACACTGTAGAACCGTCAGCTGATAACACGAAAAAGATGAGATTTGAAAATCATAAAACCAAAAACGAAAAACTCATAAAATTTGATATTAACCTAACTATAGACTGATCTAAAGGCAAGACGATAGACTAATCTATAATCAAGACTATAGACTGATCGATAGTCAAGACTATAGACTGATCGATAGTCAAGACTATAGACTGATCTATAGTCAAGACCATAGACTGATCTATAGTCCAGACTATACACTGATCTATAGCCAAGACTATAGACTGATCTATAGTCAAGATTATAGACTGGTCTATAGTCAATACTATAGACTAATCTTTGGTCAAGACTATGGACTGGTCTATACTCAAGACTATAGACTGATCTATAGTTAAGACTATAGACTTATCCATAGTCAAGAGTATAGACTGATCTATAGTGAAGAGTATAGACTGATTTATAGTCAAGATTATAGATTGATCTATAATCAAGACTATAGACTGATCGATAGTCAATATTATAAACTGATCGATAGTCAAGACTATAGATTGATCTATAGTCAAGATTATAGACTGGTCTATAGTCAATACTACAGACTAATCTTTGGTCAAGACTATAGACTGATCTATATTCAAGGCTATAGACTGAAGAGTATAGACTGATCTATAGTCAAGATTATAGACTGGTCTATAGTCAATACTATAGACTAATCTTTGGTCAAGACTATAGACTGATCGATAGTCAAGACTATAGACTGATCCATAGTCAAGACCATAGACTGATATATAGCCAAGATTATAGACTGATCGATAGTCAAGACCATAGACTGATCTATAGTCAACACTATAGACTGATCTATAGTCAAGACTACAAACTGATCTATTGTCAAGGCTATAGGCTGATCTACAATCAAAACTATAGACTATCTTTATGTATATATTTGACAATGGATGTTATTGAAAAATTTGGTGTTAATTTGGTACCAGGCGTGTTTATTTATTTTTCCCTCTGTGTAGACTGATCTATAGTCAAGACTATAGACTGATCTATATCCAAGACTATAGACTGATCTATAGTCAAAACTAATTACTGATCTATAGTCAAAACTATTGACTATAAACGCTATAGACTGGTTTATAGTCAAGGCTATAGACTGATCTTAGTCAAGACTATAGACAGATCTATAGTCGAAACTATAAACTGATCTATAATCAAGACTTTAGAGTGATCTATAATCAATACTATAGACTGATCTATATTCAAGAATATAGACTGGTCTATAGTCAAGACTATAGACTGATCTATAGTCAAGACTATAGACTGATCTATAGTCAAGACTATAGACTGCTCTATAGTCAAGACTATAGACTGATCTGTAGTCAAGACTATAAACTGATCTATAGTGAAGACTAGTTGTCTGGAATTATCTTATACAACTGTATGACTGGACTCCGACAGGTGTTATATGTATGTATATCATTGTTGATGCATGTACAACAATTTAGTGTGTGCAAAAATTTTGGCAAAATTCACATACATAAATACATACACATACATGCATGATAACGCTTAAATAAACTCTGTTTTAGCGGTAATTTAAACGACCGCTTTTGCGTGTTTGAAAATTTCTTAACTTGTACCAAATAAAAACACATACATACACACATACTACTATGAAACATGAATGAATTATAACAATAAAAAAACTACTGGTTAATAAAAAGAAAATCATTACATTTGTTTAACACTCCTTTATAGCACCATACTTAACCATATAACTACTTATTCGAAAGTGATTAAATATTTTAATAAAACTGACAATTAGACAAAATATTCAAAAGGTGCATTTATTTCACTAGTTTTTAGGAAATTTACTTTTATTAAGTTTATTTATGTAATTTACTAAAACAAATACTGTGAAAATATTTATTTAATTACTTTTTGTATTAGCGTTCGACATGTGAAGGGTATTAACAATTCGTTACTGCCGCATAAAACTATTACTTTTTGTTATGATCAATTGCTGACATTGTTTAAAAAAAAAAAGAGTAATCAAGGTTAAAATATAGCGGTGAAGTTGCTATTTATTTAAAAAATTGGAACGTAATTTTAAACAAAAATGATTTGTTTATATTTTATGATATAATTTTAACAAAATAAAATAAAACGACAACGAAGAAATAATACCGTTGATAACTGCACAACGTTAAGTGGAATTTTAAAGCGTAAGAGTTGCAAAGTGAAGTGAAGGTGGCAATTAATTCTAATTTAAATAATTTTAAAAGGTCATTAAACTCTGAGAATTTCAGATAAATCCAGTAGATGCTGCGCAGTATTTGGCTCCCAGCAATCAGTCGGAAGTAAACGTTAGAATTTCAGATAAATCAAAAATCAACGATTACGATGCAAGTTTTAAGATTCAATTAAATACATTAGGACAGACGTGAGCAGCAAATAATTATAATTTACACAAGTAGGAAAGTATAGTCGGGCATGACCGAATATATGATACAATTATATTTTAAAATTATTTATTTATTTTGTATGTTGAATTTTGCATTAATTCCGATGTATTTAAGCAATTTATTGATGAAAAACTTATAAAATTTGTAGGAGGATTGTACTTTTATGGGGACAAGGTCAAATAAGGGCCGATCATTCCTAAAGTGTCATTTATGATTATGTAAGACTTTTTCTTGGATATGTTCTTGATGCGTAAAAATATATGGGTATCGAACACGAGTTCCCTAACTACAGAGAAACGCATTTCATTGTATTATCGATAGGACACTCCACGTAGCAACGGTGCTCCAGTGAATCAATAGAGTTGGATACCCTACTGTCACCGATAAGTACCTTCGCTCTCTCTTGTAAACGGTCAAGTAACTCCAAAATAGACTTCCAAACTCCGACCCATACATTAGAGTTGTATTCCATTTTTGGTCGGATATAAGTGGTGTAAATAGAAAGATCAAATTGAGTGAAGGACCGCTTTCAAAAAAATGAGACACTTGAATGCCTGGGTCACGCCATAGGTTCCTAACTAAGGCACGGGTACGGGAGCGCACAACAGGCCCGAGAGGGGCCGAGCGAACGAACTAACTAACTAACTAACTAACTAACTAACTAACTAACTAACTAACTAACTAACTAACTAACTAACTAACTAACTAACTAACTAACTAACTACTACTAACTAACTAACTAACTAACTAACTAACTAACTAACTAACTAACTAACTAACTAACTAACTAACTAACTAACTAACTAACTAACTAACTAACTAACTAACTAACTAACTAACTAACTACTAACTAACTAACTAACTAACTAACGAACTAACTAACTAACTAACTACTAACTAACTAACTAACCTAACTAACTAACTAACTAACTAACTACTAACTAACTAACTAACTAACTAACTAACTAACTAACTAACTAACTACTAACTAACTAACTAACTAACTAACTAACTAACTAACTAACTAACTAACTAACTAACTAACTAACTAACTAACTAACTAACTAACTAACTAACTAACTAACTAACTAACTAACTAACTAACTACTAAACTAACTACTAACTAACTAACTAACTAACTAACTAAACTAACTAACTAACTAACTAACTACTACTAACGAACTCACTAACTAACTAACTAACTAACTAACTAACTAACTAACTAACTAACTACTAACTAACTAACTAACTAACTACTAACTAACTACTAACTAACTAACTACTAACTAACTAACTAACTAACTAACTAACTAACTAACTAACTAACTAACTAACTAACTAACTAACTAACTAACTAACTAACTAACTACTAACTAACTAACTAACTAACTAACTAACTAACTAACTAACTAACTAACTACCTAACTAACTAACTAACTAACTAACTAACTAACTAACTAACTAACTAACTAACTAACTAACTACTAACTAACTACTACTAACTAACTAACTAACTAACTAACTAACTAACTAACTAACTAACTAACTAACTAACTACTACTCACTAACTACTAACGACCTACCTAACTAACTAACTAACTAACTAACTTACTAACTAACTAACTAACTCACTAACTTACTACTAAATGGCCCAAATAGACTACACTTTACAAACTATATTTTTCGTTTGTGCAAGCCTGTTTGAGTAGTGGTATGAGGATGTTTCGTGTTTGTACAAATGCTTGCGGGTTGTTTGTACAAAAATCAAAAAGTTTTGATTTTACACAAACATATTGAATTTTTGTCCAAATCGTATGTTGGTTAATGTTCATCAATAATAAATTTTTCATTTTCTAAGAAAATTGTCATCAGCAATATTTCGACAACAAATATTTAAACAAGTCTTAAGTACTTATCTTTGCAAAAAAAATAGCAAATATAATTTATTATCATTAACAAAAACAACCTGAC